CAACACCCAGTTTGCAAGTCTGTATTTCTATGTTCAGACTCTCATAGCATAACATCTTTTTAGTGAAAAACACGCCACAGTACGTTCAACACTTAGGACCTTGGAGCTAAGCATGAAGTAAAATAGGGGTAGCTGTTATCTATGGAAAGTCTGGTGGAGTTGGGGCCTGAGAGAGGCCATGGGAAGCAAAGATGGCTGCCTGGAGGGGTGTAAATAGATGGGTAGAGTGAGTGAATGATTGGTGGGTGATTAGGTTGGTGGGCAGAGAGATGGGTGGGTGGGTAGATAGATGGATGAGTGGATAAGTGAGTGGATAGGTAGGTAGGTGGGTGGGTGGATGGATGGATGAGTGGATAAGTGAGTGGACAGGTAGGTAGGTGGGTGGGTGGATGAATGGATGGATAAGTGAGTGGGTAAGTGAATGAGTACATAAATGGGTGTGTGAGTGAATGGGTAGATGAATGGGCGAGTTGGTAAGTAGGTGCATATATGAGTGAATGGATGGATACATAAATGGATGGGTAAGTAGTTGAGTGAATGGGTAGATGATGAATGAGAGGATGAATCAGGTTGGTAGATGGGTTGATAGATGGATAGGTGAGTAAGTACATAAATAGGTGAGTGGATGAATGGAGAGATGGATGGGTGGGTGAGTCAGTGAAGAGGTGAATAGATGAGGGAGTGGGTATGGATGGGCAGATGAATGGGTGGGCAGTTGAGTGAATGGGTGGGTCATAAATGGATGGATGGGTGGGTTGTGGGGGATGGATGAATATATATGGGTAGTTTGGTGGTTAGGTGGGTGGATAGATAAGAACCAATGTTTAATGAATTCTTTAAAAATTCAAGTGCCCTGGGGTATAAACAGTGAAGTAAACTGAGCACATGCTCTGGAAGCTGTGGGTAGAACAGCTGCCTTTCCTGGAATGGGGACACGGGGGCAGGGGAGGAGAGGGACACACATATTCTCACTTTCCCTCTCCTCCCAGCCTCCATCCTAGACTGTACCTAGCCTAGGAGATTCCTGTTCCCTGAGGGGCAGAGGAGCATCCCACCACAGAGTGGGTCCTGAATATTTGTAGGTGAACAAGGAAACATCAGAGGGGTTCCAGCACTCTGCAGGCTGGGTGTATTAAAGGCACTATCACTCCAGACTGTTCTTAAGCAAAATTCACGTAAGAAATGTCAACCAGGGCTGGAGAGGTGGCTCAGTGATCACTTGCTGTTCTTACAGAGGACCTGAGTTCAGTTCCCAGCATCTATTTCAGGTGGCTCACAACTGCCTGTAACTCCAGCCCCAGGAGATCCAGCTCCCTCTTCTGGATGCCAAAGGCACCGCACATACAGGACATACATTTGCATAAACACTTACAGAGACATATAAATAAAAACAAACCTTTTAGAAATACGCAAACCACACTGACATCCATTCTGTGCACATAAGCCTTGATATTTTAGGTGGGGGGAGGGACCACTTATGCCCCAGTTTGCTGTGGTGACTTTGCCACCCCTGGCGACTCTCCTGATGAACAACCACCAGATGTGAATATGTAGGAATAAATCACTGGGCTCGAGCCTCTGCTGGTGCCGTTAAAACCATCAGCATCGCCTGATTCATTAACCTGTGACTATCGGGGCTTCGCCAGGGCAAAGTCTCAACCCTGAGCAAACACAGACTCACACACCAGCAGTCTCCTCCTGTTTACCATTGGGCTAATCCCTCCGAGTGCATCTTCTGCAAAGGAGGTGTGGCGAGGTTTCGCTTCCCATCGCTCCTGGGCCATAAAAACAGGCAGTACGTGCACATGTATATTCAGTGGGCTTTTCCTCCCCAGATCGCCTGTGTTTTCAAGTCCCGCATACCTCTGCCTGTAAGAGGAAATTGAACCTGGGAAGGATTTCTACATTATAGGAACAATTTAGGCTTTGCACCCACCTTTTAGCAGCAGCCTCCTTGGGGAATTTGTATTTTATTTGCAGTCACTCATGTTGCACTGGTGTGAAGCAGTATGCTAAGCACTTTATAAATAAAAACATTGAATCCTCAAGGCAGGCCTACACTGTACATACCTATGTTATCACCATTTGACAGAGAAGGTCCAGAGAGGTTGAGTTCTCTGCCTAAGGTCACACAGCCAATGACAGAGCCAAGCTTTGCACTAAGGCTACGTAGTTATAGACAGTTTGTTCAGCCACAGTGCTTTGGGTTTTCAGTTTGTTGTTCAACAATAATGTTGAAACATGGCCTTGTGTAGCCCAGACTGGCCTAGAACGAACTTGTTATGAAGCCAAGGGTGACTTCTGATTGTCCTGCCTCCACCATGTAAGTGCATGGGCCGCCATGCCAGTGCCCCATGACCACTTCTCTGGCTATACTGCCTCCACTCTGTTGGTTGGTGCTTTGGAATCACCTTTTTCTTTTTTCTATATAAGACATGTTCTGGCTTTGATCTTATTCACGTTTTCCTAAATACCAAAATTTACATAAATTTAGTATTTACCTACTGTGGAAAGCTATAAAAGTCACCACTTCATAGTGTGTGTGTGTGTGTGTGTGTGTGTGTGTGTGTGTGTGTGTGTGTGTGTGTGTGTGTCCCTGTTCCTGTCCCTGTGGAGGCCAGAGATCAACCTTGGATACCATTCTTCAGTCATCATCCATAGGGTCTCTCTCTAGCCTGGAGCTCACCCATTAGGCCGGGCTGACTGGCCACAGAGCACTGAGGAGCCTCCTGTCTCTGCCTCCCCAGTCCTGAGACTACAAGTGTGTGCCTCCATGCCCAGCTGGGAATTGAACTCAGGGCTGCATACTTATACAGCAAACCGTTTACCGCTGAGCCATCTCCCCAGCCCCACTTAAACTGTGTGAAGCGTATGGCTCAGTAGCTTTGAGTAACTTCATGGTGCTGTATATCCCTCACCACCATCCATCTTTCATCCTGGAAACCCAGACTCTGGCGCCACTCCCTGGAACCCAGCATTCTACACTCTGTCTCCAGCGCTTGGACAACCCCGAGGACCTTATCTAAACAAAATTGTGCAGTATGTGGCCTTTTGTGACCAGTTGACTTCACTGGGCATCTTGTCCTCAGCACCCATGCATAGTGTCAGAATCCCCTCATTTTGAAAGCAGAGTAGTATTCCATTGTGTGCACATGCAGTGTTTTGTTTAGCCCTTTGTCTGTCCATGGGTCACTTGGGTAGTTTCTACCTTCTGGTACTGTGAATATTACTGAGAATGTGGATTTGCATCTATCCAGAATACAAAAATCTTAAAAATAAAAAAAAAAGCATATTGGTAGCACCAGAGCATTGACTAAAAATGTCAGGCTGGGACATAGCTCAGCATTATATCATTAACAATCTACCGAGTCTGCTTAATGGTCAAAGGATTTTATTTGGGGGTTAACTCACAAGACAGAATAAAGGAATTTGTCACAGGATCCTGGAAGGGTGAGACATGGTCCAACGCTGTTCTCTGGCAAGCTCTGCCCTGGTCTGTCCCAGCATCCAAAAACACGAGGTAGCAAAGAGAGAGGGCTGCATACATGCTTTCCAGGTCTTACGGGTCCCCCAGCAGCCATGCCATCTACCTCAAGGTCATAGACAAATATAACAGTTACCTGCTACCTCACTAGGGCCGATGCTTCAGGACAGGGCTCAAACAGCTCCTATTACAGAATCCCTCCATTTTGAAAGTGGAGTAGTATTCCACTGTGTGCACACGCAGTGTTTTGTTTAGCCCTTTGTCTGTCCATGGGTCACTTGGGTGGTTTCTACCTTCTGGCACTGTGAATATTACTGAGAATATAGATTTGTAAGCATCTGTCCAGAATACAAAATCTTAAAAAAAAAAAAAAAAAGAGCATACTGGTAGCACCAGATCATTGACTAAAAATGTCAGGCTGCGGCACATTAGCTCAGCAGTAGAGCACCTGCCTAGAAACCTTCAGTGAGGGACTGGGAGAGTGGCTCAGCCATGAAGCACGGCTGGGTTTGATCTCTAGCAGTCGTGGGGTGCAAGTAAAAAAGTGTCTTGAGCACCTGCATTTAGGGCAGGCTTGACACTGCTGCAGGTGCTCAAGACACTTGGCATTGATAAGATATTTTCACTGGGGAAGTGGCCTTCAAGGCGAAACCAGGGTCTAAATCCCAGCAGAGAACATGGAGCTCTGACAACGTTGCCCCCAACCATGTGTCGAGCCTGCCTTTTCCATATAATCCAACACTCTGCTCTGAAAGAGATGAAGCCCAAGATAGATGGATTACAGCCACTCCAGGAGCACAGATGTCCGTTCTGTCCACAATGCATGGAGAATGCCGCGTACCACCACAGTGATGGGAGCAGTGAGACAGGAAGCCATGGCTCAAACTGTCCCCTTAACCAGCTGGCTGGGTTTGTTTCCAGTCAGAACAGGGTTGGAACCCGTAATGAGTGCGGGCCAGCTGGTGACCAGCTAGTGTCCAGGTGGAGCTGTCTGTAGGTCAAGAATGGGATCAAAAGGGTCAGCGATGGGGTGTATAGCACAGGACAGGCAGGGGAAGCAGTGAGCCAGAAGGGAGCCAGTGTCCCTAAGGTGACAGCAAGTGGGAAAACAGGGGGGACCTAGAACCCATGAGAATATGATAAGGAGAGAGAGAAGAGAATGCCACTCCTGAATGGTGAGATGGTTTAATCAAGCCTGATGACCCAATTTTGGTGCCAGAACTCTCATGGTAGATGGAGAATTAAGTCCCACAAGTTGTCCCTTGATCTCCACGTGTGCACTGTGACATGTCCATACCCCCACAAAAAATAAATAAAGGTAATAACAAATAAATAAATCATCGTGCCCAGCTCACTCCTCTGAGACATTTGTTGATGAAGGAGGCATCCACCGTGGTCCGCTCCTGTCCGAGGCTGGCATCAGATGCCCTGTCCCAGGCTGCTGTGAGCTGGCCAGCACTGCAGGTCTCCAGAAGAGCTGCCCTGACCGCTGCTCCATCTCTGATCTCTCTTGCAGATGAAGGCTTATGGGACATGTTTGCAAAGGATATTCCCCGGAGTGCTACATCATACACCGTGGGCCTGGACAAACTACGGCAAGGGGTGACCTACGAGTTCCGGGTAGTGGCTGTGAACAAGGCAGGCTTTGGGGAACCCAGCCGCCCTTCCACAGCGGTGTCAGGTAAGCCCGTCAGGACACTCGGGGGCTACATCAAGTGGAAGCGCCCATCACATGGAGGCCTGGCCTCCAGCTGGGTGGAGGAGCTGCTGCAGATCGCAGTGGGGAGCATGGTATAGACCCTCTGTATTATGTAACTCCTCCCTGGGACTGCCTTCTTCAAGCAGAACCCCAGACCCTGAGCCACTGCCAAGGACACTCTATAGGCAAGGTAGGATTTCCATGCCATATCAAAACCCCAGGCATGGTGACAGACACTTGCTGTCTCAGCTCTGCATAGGTAGAGGGAGGATCCCTGGGGTCTGATCTGTGAGCTCCAGGGCCATGAGGGACCCTGTATAAAAGGTGATGGGTGCTATTCCTGATGATGACACCTACAGTTCACCTCTGGCCTACACACACACACATACACTCACATACACACACACACACACACACACACACACACACACAAAGGATATAAAACCCTGCTTGATCTGTGAAGAACTGGTATGAAGCGACTTCATGCCCATGTGGCCCTGAACCCCACACAGCAGACAGCAGGTGGAATGCAGCTCCCTTATTTCTTCCATGGGGCATCATCCACAAACACTTCTGAGATCACACAGATTCCAAGCCAGCCGTGGCTGCCATCTGGACCGCAGTCAACTCATGACATCCTTCAGAAATACTAGCCACCTTCACACACTGGCCTCACATCAGGACCCAATCTCTGTGATAAGAGCTCCCCACAGGACAGCTGAGGCCTCTCTCCCCTGCCAAGAGGCAGAGCTGGCCGGCACTCCTGGGTGGCCAGCCTGAGAGTCACGGGACTTGCTACATGGGATATTGAATGCACAGCAAGACACCCCACTTACATCCTTCGGATTCAAAACACTGTCATCGCCTGAGAAGCCCTGTGGTGTACCATTATCCAAAGCCAATTTCCCCTTTATTCCCAGCATGCACTTATTCGTCATCCAGCCAGTGAGATACTTTATGTGAAGGTGGAAGTGTTTTCTGGAGATTTGGGCAGCTGGAAGCAGACCCTCGGCTTTGCCTGTAAGAGGTCATTCAGGGCCCTCAGTGCCACTTAACCAGCTCCCCAACAGGGACACCCCCAAAAGGCAGGAGTGGGGCCCTACAGGCCCAGTACCTGTAGAGAGGACATTTTCCCATTTTCCTCTCTTAGTAAACAGAATAGAACAGACGGGAAGGAGGAAGCAGACCCTTTGCCCAAGCAGTTTTTACATGAAACATTTTTAAATAGATATCTCAAAAGCAAGTTCGCACTCAGAGCCCACAGTTCAGCTGAGTTTTGCTAGGGACATAAAATAACACACAACCCCAGACTTCAGGGCCTCCTGGACCAGTGGAGGAGGCCAGCAGGGGGCTAAACATGCCCAGTGGGCTTCTGAGACCAGCATTATCTATCAAATCCAGAGACCTGGAGGGCTCAGCCATTGCCTTGTTTGGCACCAAGGGGAGCCAGTGGAGGAGGTGGGGGGGCAGGGGTGTGGTATTTCCATTTAGGAAGATTTCTCTAGTGACAGTGTTAAAGGATGTGAGTGAGGGGGTAGGAGAATAGAGAATGATCAAGATGGTTGGGACCCGGTTGCCATGGTGAGATCAACAAGTGTAATGAAGCAAAGCACACAGCATCCCTTGAGGGAAGGCTGAGCCAGAGACGGGAAGCAGGGTCCCACTTTAAGTCAGTGTTTCTAAGGAGGTAGGATTAGGAGGGACATGGCGATGGTTCTCAGGATAAGGTCTGAAGTAGGAGAGGGGTCTGGTGTGTGTCCATCCGGTCCTGTTTCTCTTCCTGCCGCCATGACACAGTACCCTGACAAAAGCAACTTGTTCTGGGTGCCAGCTCAAGGGTACAATGCATCATGATATGGGAGTCATGGAGGCAGGAGCCTGAGGCAGCCACTCACATCACATTGACAGCCAAGAAGCAAAGAGCAACGAATGCACACTCAGCTCCTTTTCTTCATTTATAGAGTGTCTTAGTCAGGGTTTCTATTGCTGTGAAGGGACACCATGACCACGGCAACTCTTATAAAGGAAAACATTCAATTGAGGCTGGCTTACAGTTCAGAGGCTCAGTCCATTATCATCATGGCAAGAAGTATAGCAGCATGGAGGCAGACATGGTGCTGGAGAGGTAGCTGAGAGTTGTACAGCTGGATCTGCAGGCAGCAAGAAGAGACAGTGAGACAATGGGCCTGGCTTGAGCCTCTGAGACCTCAAAGACTGCCACCAGTGACACACTTCCTCCAACAAAGCCACACCTACTCTACAAGGCCACACCCCCAATAGTGCCATTCTCTATGGGCCTATGGTGCCAATTTTTATTCAAACCACCACATATATCCTAGAACCCCAGCCAAGGAATGGTGGCACCCACAGTTAAGATGGGTCTTCTACCCTCTTCAGTTAACCTGACCAATCTGACTTGGCTTCAGGGTGAGTCTAGATCCTGCCAAATTGAAAGTTAAAAGTAACCATGACAGACCCCCAAGCTTGACTCCATAGAGAAGGCAGAAAAATTCCCAAGGGTGGATTCCCAAACCTGCTATGGAGCTTGTGGAATTTCCAGAAGAGCATGCCTTTTCCCTACAGCATGTGCTGGGCTGTGACAAGTCCTCCTGGAGAGCTCTTTCTCTTCCCTGCTGCTAGATTCCAGGGAGATGGCTGTATGGAGCTGATGTTGAGCCTCATCCTATATGTTCTTTTCCACAGCACAAGCTGAAGTCCCCTTCTATGAGGAATGGTGGTTCCTGCTAGTAATGGCGCTCTCCAGCCTCCTCCTCGTCCTCCTGGTGGTCTTTGCACTGGTCCTGCATGGGCAAAGCAAGAAGTATAAGAACTGTGGCACAGGTGTGACATCTGCCTCTGTCTCACATGGTGACCTGGCATTTGGTCATGAGGACTGACTTTTGATTTCTCTGCTGGATCTGCCAGGGTCTCTTTTAACGGTGCTTAAATATTAGGGAAACAAGTGCCTTGGTGGTAGAGCACCTTCCTAGAATCCCCCAGTGGGGGGCTAGGGTGTGGCTCAGTGGTAGAGCACCTGCCTAGAATCCCCCAGTGAGGGGCTGGGGTGTGGCTCAGTGGTAGAGCACCTGCCTAGAATCCTCCAGTGAGGGGCTGGGGTTTGGCTCAGTGGGAGAACACCTGCCTAGAATCCCCCAGTGAGGGGCTGGGGTGTGGCACAGCGGTAGAGCACCTGCCTAGAATCCCCCAGTGAGAGGCTGGGGTGTGGCACAGCGGTAGAGCATCTGCCTAGAATTCCCCACTGAGGGACTGGGGTGTGGCTCAGTGGTAAAGCCCCTGCCTAGAATCTCCCAGTGCAGGGCTGGGGTGGTAGAGAGCTCTCCTAGCATGCCAGAGTCCCTAAGCTCCAAGCCTGGAGATACAGTTTCTGACCCCTTATATTAGCCATGGTGTTGGACTTGCTGGGTTCTCTGAATCTTCCTTCCCATGCCCCATTGCTCTTATGTGCTCACATTTTTAAATAGGACTAGACAGGATGAGTGTTAAACAAGAAAAGTCTCATCCCAGCTCCTCTGATGTAGGGATAAGCTGGGACCCACCTGAGTATTCCATCACACTGAGTGTGACGGAAATTTCCTATGGTAGAGCCTTTCTCATGCACTTGAGCCTGGACTTCCTTTTCCATCCCCTCCACATCCCCTCCTCCAGCTCTGACCCCTCTGAGGGTCAGTTCCCTCATTGTCAGCAGAGCTCCATGCTCAGCACTGAGCCAGCGCTCCATCAGCACACATGTGCTGTTGGACTGATCACCACTGTCAGAGAAAGGAACATGGAGGTGGAACATGAAGCCAGTTGCAGGAACGCTCATGTGGTGTGACTTCTTAGACATGGAGGTCAGGAGAAGGCCAAGTGGAAGCATGTGTCTCTAAGGCAATGCTGTGGTTGCATCTTGGGGGAGAGGAGCAGAGAGGGATGGTGTGATGTGGGGCATTTACCCACCACCCCCACAGTTCCCCAGAGTTTTCTTGAGTGCGAGCAGCAGGAAATATTAGATAGAAGGATTTATTGCGGAGATTATCGCATAAACAGATAGAAAATACAGGATAGCCTCGAGAGGGCCTGGAACCTTTTCCAATGGGCCCTGACTGTCTCTGCCCCAGGGTTTTTATAGAGAGGTCAAGGGGTGGAGCAAAAGACCTCCTCCCCCAGCACAGCCAAGTGCAGACCATCCCAGACACCTGCACTCAGGCCCATGTTCCTAATCATCCTCTATGCGGACCTTCTGGGTAAAGCCACGAGGAACCCGAGAACAGGCTCCCACAGTGTGAGAGTCAGCCTTATGGATGCTGTGTGAACTCCACACCTGCACAGAAGTGATGGCTACACGAGATGAGAACACACACTTCACACTGATGCTCTTTATTGTCCTCAATTTTGAAGAGTCTCATAATGACCAGTAAGACCATTTCTCAGCATAACTAGAAAACAGCTTTACCTGTAGTCTTCCACCCCCACCCCCGAGTCCCCACCTTGCAACGGTTCTTAAAGCTATGGCTGAGCCAGAGAACACAACAGGGGCTGTGGAGGAAACTCAGTTGGTAAAGTACTAGCTGTAAACATGACCAGAGTTATTTCCCCAGCCTCACATAAAGAAAGCTGGGCTTGGTGCTGCATGCTAGTAATCCCAGAGCTGGAGGGGTGGGGACGGGTGGATCACTGGGGCTCTCTGACCAGCCTAGCTTCATCTGTAAGTCCCAGGTCCCAGTGAGAGACCCTGCCTCAAAAAAGATAGTTGATTCCTGGGGAATGGTACCCCAGCCAGGCTGACCTCTGGCTTCTATACATACGTGCACATGTATACACACACACACACACACACACACACACACACACACACACACACACACACTACAACTACCAGGCTACTTAGACCTACCTTTGACTCCAGTTTCCACTGTCAGTCTGTCTTTACTTTCTAGAATGGTCTGTCCCTGATGGGGATCTGTTAATCTGATAATGAAGATCACAGCCATGCTGGTCCCCTGGGGCAAAAGTAGCACTCCAGGGATCCCTCCCAGGCATCAGCACCACCAGAGGGGCTAATGAGATGAAGCGCCTAAATCGCCTAGACATTAGCAATCCATCCCTGCAAGGAAAGAGTTTATTCTTTTTCTTTTCTGTATAAATTCACTTCTAACAAGTGTTCGTAAATCAGATTTTATTCCCCTGGGATTTGCAGTGTATGAATGGCATGTCATTTTAGTGAGTTAATGCAGTTACAGAAGAGCATAAAGTCTCTCTCTCCTCTTCCATCTGGAAAACAGACTAGAAAAGACACATCAGACCTGCAGCTTCCAATACCCAGGCTCCCCCTAGGGTATTAATTTAACATCATAATTGAAGCCTGAAGGTGGGGCTTGTCTGCCCGAAGGTGACTTGTGTGTGTGTGGGGCGGGGGGAGGGGGGGCCTGAACCTTTTCATGTCCTTAGTTGTTGCCTAGCAGGAGCGTGATGGCCCCTCTCATTTTGTCCTCACCAGCCCAACACCCATCAAGTCACATCTCTGAGCAGAGGCAAACCTAACATCCATCTACCACACTGGTTCTATGGGCTGGTGTCTCAGCATCCAGCCACATGGAAGGTACAGGGTGCCCATCGTAGGGAATCCTCTCAGGGTGAACACATACCTTACCATGTCCTCAGGGCAGGGTGATACTCTCCTAGGGGTAGCAGGAGAGTGGAGAACATGTCAGATAAAATCCTCACCTTTCAAAGAATCTCTCAGCTGACATTGGAAGGTAAAAGACAGAGTCTAGTCTGAGCACCAAGTAAATGTGCTAGTGCAAACTTCTGGGGTGGGGGCTGGGGAGATGGTTTAGTGAACAAGAGTGCTTGCTGTACAAACATAAAGATCTGAGTTCAAATCCCCGACACCCATGTAAAATCTAGGGCATGGCAGTACCCGTGTCTATAACCCCAGTGCTATGTGGGGTTTAACCTAATCTAGAAAACCTTCCACAGACACAACCAGAGGTTTATCTCTTGGGTGATTCTGAATTCCAATACATTGTCAAGCAAGATTGATCATCACATAGGGCTAAAGAGATGACTCAGCAGGTAAAGGCACCTGCTGCCAAGCCCGAAGACCTGAGTTCAATTCCCAGGACCTGACTCAACTCTAAAAGTTGTCCTCTGACCTCTGCTGCCCAGGTGCTATAGCATGCACATCCACAGAAACACACAGAAACACACCAGATAGGTAGATAGGTGATAGATAGATAGATAGATAGATAGATAGATAGATGATAGATAGATAGATAGATAGATAGATAGATAGATAGATAGATGATAGATAGATAGATAGATAGATAGAAGATAGATAGATAGATAGATAGAAGATAGATAGATAGATAGATAGATAGATAGATAGATAGATAGATAGATAGATAGATAGATAGATGCCCCGGCTAGCGGGGTGTCAACGGGGGCGACCCACCTGTGGGAGAGAATGAGAGGGATGGGAGACATGAGAGAAGACAGCAAGACAGTGTGTTCTGATCAAGCTGCAAATTTTATTCACCTCAGCAAGGCTTATATAGCATGGGAGGGGGAGGGAAGGAGGGAAGGGGTGCACAACGTGCCGTACATGCAGGTGAAGGGGGACGTGCAGGTGAAGGGCTACATGCAAGTCGTGCAAGTCGTGAGGCTGCTAGGTGGTAAGGTCACTGTTAAGGGCCCATTGTTCTGTTGCTATGCTACCTGACCTGCCTGACCTGTTCTTTAGCTTTGGGGGCATCTGGTTTAGGGCAGGGGCTTGTTCTCTGGCCTAGCTAGTACTTTTCCATGGTCCATGTTTGGTCCCTGACAGATAGATAGATAGATAGATAGATAGATAGATAGATAGATAGATAGATAGATGGATGGATGGATGATAGGTAGATAGAGATAGATAGATACATAGATAGATGATAGATAGATGATAGATAGATGATAGATGATAGATAGATAGATAGATAGATAGATAGATAGATAGATAGATAGATATAATTTTTAAAGTTTAACCCTCACAGTTACACACTTGTAGATTAATTTAAAAGCCAGTGATTAATGTAAAGACACATGCAGTCATCGCCACCATCCATTTGGGACATCTTTGTCACTTAAAGGAAACGCTTTCTTTACCTATCTTACCCATACAAGCATGTTTTTTACTTTAAATTTCGTTACATGGGTTGTGAGTTTTTTAATTATGTGACTTGTGAAACATCTGACTTCCCTGACTTTTAATAAGGGTATGCATTCTGAGCATATTTTCATAAAACATTGGCAAGGATACTGGCATTTTGGCATCAGGCAAGATAAACACTGAAACATTAATATCACTATTCTGCTCCAGCATTATGGCGTGTGCATAGCTTTGCTCCAACTGTCTCTCTAGCTGAGGCTGATGCCCAGTGGTTTTAGGGGTCACATCAGACAGAGCACAGGAGCTGGTGGTGCTGACTGACCCACCCCTGTGTCACTGCAGGGGACACATTACTAAGACTATGCCGCTTTCCCCATTGGCTCTAGGTAAGGGCATCTCCAACATGGAAGAGTCAGTGACCCTGGATAACGGAGGGTTTGCCGCCTTGGAGCTCAATAGCCGTCACCTCAACGTCAAAAGCACCTTCTCAAAAAAGAATGGAACCAGGTAGGAGGCTGTGCTGAAGGGATGTGTCCCCCATCCACAGGCACCCACCAAGCGAATTCCATATAAAGCAATGTGCGTCTGTGATTCCTGCACTCCTTTGGGATGGGAGACAGGAGAATCCCTGGATGCTCAGGGACCAGCTAGCCTGCTGTACACAGCAGCAAACCGAGTCCCCATCTCAAACAAGGTAGAAGGCAAGGACCAACACCGGAAGTTGTCCTCTGACCTCCACGTCGGTGCCCTCGCATGGGCACAACTGCACTCACACACATACTCACGTGCATGCATACCGTCACATACACAAGCATGGGGGTTTCCAGTGTTGAGGGCTCTTCTTCTCACAGAGCCAGGTTCCATATGCGTCTGCTTTTCAGTAAACGGGGGGGGGGGGGGGGGGGGGGGGGGGGGGGGGGGGCTCGCCCCTGTCAGGGACATGGCAGACTGAAGGCCTCAGTTGCTCTATTGTCTGCCAAACTTACAGTGACAAACTCATCAAGCCTCACGATGCTTTTGGCCTCTGCCACTCGGGGTTGAATTGTTTGAAAGGCACTGAGGCCCGGAGCTGACTGAGCTGACCTCCATCTTCAGAGGAAGAGGGTCCCGGCTGCGGCTGCTCTTGCACTTGGCCCCAATCCAGAGCACACAGGCACCACCACCCCAACTACCCTCCTTAGGGCAGGAAGGGGAAGCTAGTGGCACCCACTTTCCTCTTTTCCATTTCACTTGTCACCTGAGAGTCAGGGTTTTCCTGCTGAGTCAGAGAAACATGGAAAGGTAGTCACGGAATGTCAAGACGAAGAGGGGCTCGTCACAGGGGACTTTTAAATGGCACTGCTGTGTTCTACCCTCCACTGCAGGTCCCTTTCCACTGCTGCAGTGCTCATGGCCTTGAAGCCCAGACCAAGGATAAACAGTCCTCCAGGTTGTTAACAGAACAACTATGTAAACAGACTCCTATGTAAACAGAAAATTATTTTGTGATAAAGTTGGAAGGTCCTGGCCCACAAAGGAATGTCCCCAAGGAGTCCTCCACTAAGAGAAACATGGACAACTGATATCAGCAAAACGGGGACCTGAGGCTCCGAGGGGAGCTGTTACAAAAGTGGGGTAGGATTTGCAGGTGTTGGATAAGAAAGTCTTTCCAGCAGGGCCCACTGAAGCAGACCCAGGTACTCAGGAGGCTCCGGCAAGTTTAAGGCCTGCCTGGGCTATGGAGCTAGTTCAAATACAGCCTGGGGAATAGAGCGAGACCCTGTCTCAAAATAAAGAAAGGGCTGAGGATATAGCTCAGCAGTTGAGCACCTGCCTAGAATCCCCCAGTGAGGGGCTGGGGTGTGACTCAGTGGTAGAGCACCTGCCTAGAATCCCCCAGTGAGGGGCTGGGGTGTGACTCAGTGGTAGAGCACCTGCCTAGAATCCCCCAGTGAGGGGCTGGGATGTGGCTCAGTGGTAGAGCATCTGCCTAGAATCTTCCAGTGAGGGGCTGGGGTGTGGCTCAGTGGTAGAGCACCTGCCTAGAATCCCCCAGTGAGGGGCTGGGGTGTGGCTCAGTGGTAGAGCACCTGCCTAGAATCCCCCAGTGAGGGCTTGGAGAAGTCATCAGTAGAACACTTAGGTAAAGGCACCTGCCACCAAGCCTGATGGCCCAAGTTCAGTTCCTGGGACTCACATGGAAGGCCCTGGGTTCAGTCCTCAGCTCCAAGGGGAAAAAGGCAAACATGCAGATATATGTGCGTATAATAAGCATGAAAATAATTTCTAAAAGATTTTTCAAAAAGGAACAAGACAGGAAGTTGCAAGCTGAAGGGTGTATTTGTTTTCCATTGCCGTGTGACAGATGACCATAATATAACACTATCTCAGAAGGTAGAGATTGCCCCAGCCTGGCTTGTCCCCTGCTAGGGCCACCCATGGCCATAGTCCTTATGTCACAGGGTGTTTTTCTCAGATAAGGTTCCAATAGGCCAGCATTCTCTTCCAAGCTCACTCCAGCTCTTGGCAGAGTGTGTCTATGTGGCCCCCATGACTCAGGGATGGCCTCTTTCTGCTGTAGACTTGAGGCTACCCCTGGTCCCCTGGTCCCAGAGGCCGCTCATGGGATGTGTTTCTTCGCACAAAGCTAGAAGCAGGAGTTCTTTTCAGGTCTGTGTCTTTGGCTGCCAGAGGACTGCATGTATCTGGGGACAGCTGTGGATGGAGACCCACACAAAATCATAAACTCTTTGAAAACATTATGAGATTTGTGTGTGTGAGGACTGGAATACAGACCTCCAGAACTCAGTGAAAGCCAGGCAGGCGCGGTGGCTGCCTGTGATCCCAGCACTCAGGAGGTGGAGACAGAGGCTCCCTGGGGCAAGCTGATTGGTGAGAATAGCTCAATCAGTGAGCTCTGGGATCAGCGAGAGACCCTGCCTCATAAACAAAGTGGAGAGCTATTGAGGAGAATACTTGACATCAACCTCTGACCTCCAAATGCATGCATGTCCACTCACACACATGCAGATATGCAGATATGCACACATGCACAATCCACACAAAAGAGTTGGCCACAGTTGGCATTCCAGCTCCAGCTGACAAAGATGGTCTCCTTCATACAACGTTCAGTGATTGTGACAAGTGGAAATGACAGCTCCACCCTTTCTGTATAACATAGTGTGACCACACTAGTTAACAAACCAGACACAGGCTCTGCCTGCAGCTATGGGCTGGATATGATTGGGAGCAGTGATTGGGATAAGGATTCTGTCAATCATTGAGGGCTAATGCCTCAAAGCCTTCATGCCCTTGGGCCCAGCTTTGTGTCCTGGGCCCCAGCAGAGTGGGAGCCCAGGCTAGTGCACACTTCCCTAATCCCACTCCTCCTCAGGAGACCATCCACAAATCCCATCCTGACACATCAGACCTCTTCCCCAAAGATTCGCCCTCAGCTCTGGCCAGTGTACACATCCTTCCTCTGCCTTCCAGAGTTCCATGTGTCCTGCACCTCCTGCTGGCCCAGACCTCACGTGCTCTCCTTGTTGAAAGTTCCACTTGACCAGAACAGCTTGTGCCTAGTGCCCTGACCTTGCACAGTCCCTGAAGCCTACAGGTGTAGAATCACAGATGACCAATGCTTGGAGCTCTGTATCAACTATATGGGAACTCATTGGGGGTGTTTTCCTCCGTGTTCCCACATGAGCAACACCAGACAGCAGCTTAGGAGCCCCACTTCCAGGGGACTGTCCTGTGTCCAAGGTGACTTGTGACATCGTCCTATTTTAGATCCCCACCCCGACCAAGCCCTGGAGGCCTGCACTACTCCGATGAGGACCTCTGCAACAAGTACAATGGCGCTGTGCTGACCGAGAGTGTGAACCTCAAGGAGAAGTCGGTGGACGGGTCAGAATCCGAGGTCAGTGCTGTGCTTGCTTCCGCCCAGCAGTGACCGCCCTCTAATTCCTCAGTATATCTCATCGCACTTAGGTCTCACAGCCACCCCATGGGATGGGCAGAGCTGGTGGTGGAGGGTCCCCTATAGATGGAGGAAGTATAAAAATTGACTGGTTGTATGGCTTTTCCCGGGAGAAGGAAAACAATGTCTGTTCACACAGATGGGAAGGCACCAAGAGACCCAAGAAAGGTTCTGTCAGAGTCAGGCAATGGACTGTATTCTTTCTCTCACGGCTGTGACAAAATACCTCAGACAGCAACTTAAGTAGAGTGGGGATTATCTGACTCACAGCCTAAGGAACTGTCCATCATGGTGGGAAGGCATGGTGGCAGGAGCACGGTCACACGGCATTCGCAGTCAGGAAGCAGAAAGAGATGGATGCTGGGGCTCAGCTCACTTTCTCCTTTTTATTTAGTCCAGGACCGCAGCCTAGAAAATGGTGTCACCCACGTTTAGGGTGGGTCTTCCCACCTCAATTAACCTAATCTGGAAACTCCCTCACAGATAGGTGTGTCTCCTGGGGAATTCTAGGCCATGTCAAGCTGGCATTTGATCTAAACCATCACATGAACCTGAGTTTACTGGGGCTCCTTATATGAGCTCAGGTGAGCTTCACCCCCAGGGAGCCCCCATCCCCAGCCAACTACCTATCTTCTAAATAATCTCAGGACACAGGGGGCCTCATGACTGTTGTGAGCGCTCCAGCTCCCTCCATGAGAGGATGTTAATGGACTCACTCATGCATACAGAAGGTGGCTTCAACCATGGAAGCCAGCAGCTGGGAGGGAGGGGCTCAAGGTGTTAGCAACACCTTGTGTCTCATGCTGACCAGCATGAAGGTTCCAATCAATGGTCCCACTGGGTGTCCCCAAGGGTCCTCTTCGCAGGCTTCATGAAGAGCAAGAACCACAGGCCATTTGCTGCACATGTATTCCTGGCCCCACATCTCAGCACACACCTCTAAATCAATATTTAATCTAAAATACACTCTCACCTTCATTCCTGACCTGATTTCGGGCCTTATTGAGCCCCAAGGCTCGATAAAACAGCCCCTTTTCAACTGTGGCTTATATACGAACTCCAGTGAGTGGGCAGGGCCGAGATCCAGCTGAGCTCCACTTTACATGTTCTTTTTACAAGGGTTGCTGGGTCTGTAACATAGCCTCGGCTTGCGGGAAACAGGAGTAGCAGTACTAACATCCCAAGAGATGCGTGTGTCTCCGCTGGAGGGCTGTCATTGAAAGCCTGTGGGAACCAGCCTGCCTCTTCCCGGCTGAGGTTAGCAGTGTCACCTCATGGCAGCTGCTCTTTGAAGAGCAGCAGGTGAGGAGGCAGCAGGGTGGCCTTGCATCCGGCTTTCTGTCTCCACTGATAGAGCCAGGCCTTGTGGGCAGGCTGGGGTCTGTCCTTGGATCCACTGTTCCCTGCAGTACTTGGCATGCTGTTGATGGTGACTGTGTGGAGAGTTCCCTGTGCATTGACACGCATCACTCTGTGGTGATGAGCACGTACTGTGGGCCGCGCCTCATGTCACCCGCTCTCCACATGCTTGGTGTTCACCCACCCCTGTGGCTGGGTCATTCTGCTGACATTCTCAATAATCCCCACACTTGGGAGGTGGAGACAGAAAGACCACAAGTTCAAGGTCATCCTTGGCTGCACAGTAAACTTGTGGCCAGACTGGGTTCCTGAGACCCCATCTCAAAATTAATGAATTGGTTCATTAATTAAAACTTTTTAAATAGGTTAATAGGACATGCCTGGGTCTATTTCTTCTCTCAAATGCATGAGATGGCTTGAGGCCCAAATTCAACTGTTTTGTTTTTTTTAAATAACAAGATTTACCTAAGCACTGAGCTAGGAAATATAATACATACATACATATATACATATGTACAATTACAGACATGCATAAATACATACATATACATGTACGTGCACACATATATACATGTGTATATCTCTCACACATGCATAAATACATATATACATATGTACATGTCACCATACACACACACACACACACACACACACACACACACACACACACACACACACACAGAGGCAGAGAAGGAGGGGTGAGCATGGAGAAGCCAGGGAGGACAGGAGGGAAGGCAGGCACAGGGGAGGAGGGATGCTGCAGAGGAATGCCATTCTGCGAAAGGGAATTCTGCAAGGAGTTTGCCTTCCTTGGCCCTGTGGCTTTTCCTGGGGAGAGAGGAACAAATGTCTATTGACCCCGTGCACTGACAACAGATCAGAGAAATGACCCCACCCAAGTCCAGCTTAGTGAACCAGTGAGTTTAGTAGGGTTCCTACAGGACATGGGTGACTCAAAGGCAGTTGCATCACCCAAATCCAGCCCAACATGGGTGACTGCTCAGGAAAGCTGTATCCTCAGAGCTCCCCGCATGCCTTGCAGGCAGCCTGGCAGGTGGGAGAGCCTTCTCTGTCTTCCCAGCAATTGAGTGTTTATATGACATCGCGGGGGGCGCTTGGAGATCCTGTAAGTTTCAGGAGTTTCCTGAAACTTGTGAGTTTTCTGTACCTCTTGAGTCTTCATGAGCCTCCCTCCAGGAGCACAGGTTTCAGTCAGGAGGTAAAAACTACACAGCATCCACATGTAATGCTCGGGACTAAGAGGTTCCGGAAGCTTTCTCAAGGTTCTCACTGATGAGCTGGCCAGAGCACCTGGCTGAGTTCCCGCTCTCCTACCACACCTGCCTTTGGGAACCACTGAGGCACATCTGTGGGACTGAAGAAGCCAGGGGCCTATGAGCTTGGCTGCCTGACACTATCACAAGCCCTATGCTGTTGTTGCTCCCCGGGGCTACCCCATGGTTCACAAGGCCTTTGGGGTAACAGTTCTTTCCAGGAGCCAATGAACTATGTAAACACGCAGAGTCCCCTGAGACCTCAGGGTCCCGGGCCCTGGAGCCTCTCAGCGCCCTTCCTCCTGAGGCCTCATGACTGCCAGCTAACAGTCCCTGGGCCGGGACACTGGGGCTCCCTGGCTCACGAGCGGGTGAGTCCTGGCCAGCTGTCTGTTTTCCAGAGTTCTTTGTCCTGCTGTGTCTGAAGTGTGTGAATTAAGGCAGACTGTAAGCACTGAACACCCTAGGACCTCAACCAAGGGACCCATTGGGTCACTCTAGAAGGGCCAGTTCAGATGGCAAAGTTCACTTGGGTCAACCTCTGACTTCTGTCTGAAGTGACAAAAAGAGCCATGGTGTCATGTGACGCCAGTGCCAGGACTCTGGCAGGCTGACACCAGGCAGGCTCCGTGTCCCCATGAGCACAGACTTTTCACCATGCCAATATTTTTGGAAATGGGTTTTCAATGTCCTGGGTGGCAAAGACCCTTTCCCAGTGACATCAGCTTCTGGGAAAGATGTCACTTCCATCAGGGATGCAGTAGGATTCCTGCCTCTTCCTCTCTTGGGGCTCTGAAAAAGAGAAGGGCACTGGCCAATTCCTGTGTCCATCTGGTGTCACTACAGCCATGCACCCAAGGCAAAGCACTAGATTATACTGTAACTCTAAAACTTAGGGTTTTGCATTTGAATCTCCAAACTGCCTTCTAGGGAGGAAAAACATTTTAGGTCTATATTCTAGGCTTGGGGGCTAGGGATATGCTCAGTTGGTACAGGGCTTCCCTAGCACACAGGAAGCCATGGGTCCCATCCCCAGCACTATATAACACACACACACACACACACACACACACACACACACACACACACACACCATGTGGTAGTACACACTTGCAGTCTTAGTACTCAGGAGGTAGAGACAGGGAAGAGAAGTTCAAGGGCATCCTCAGCTACGTAGAGAATTTGAGGCCAGCCTGAGCTATATGAGACCCTGTATAGAAAAAAGAAATCTCAAACATATTTGCAAATGAGCGTTGTGACATTTGGGTAGATGCTATTGCCTAGCAACCCTGAGTGTTCCTGTGTGGTGCTCGCTGGTCTCTCTAAGAGCCTCATCTGCACTTCTGTTTCTGGCAACCTCTAGTTAAAGGTCCAGAGCTCTACTAGGAAAGCAAGCATCAGGGCGGAGCCGTGTTGACCCCCATCCCCTCTGAAGGTCAGAATCATCCAGGCTGGAGACAAAGCTAACTTCTGGAATAGTGAAATAGAGCCTTCATATTCCCAGTGGGATGATGAATTAACCAGGGGAAATGGTTTTGTAAACATCCACTCTCGAGTCTTTGGAAACGATACCGGGGAAGACCGTGAGTAGAGATCTGTGAAAGATCCACTGGGCTGAGGAGCTGCCTCAGTCAGGAAAGCAGTAGCCTGCTGAGCAAAGACAGGGATCTGAGTTGGATCCCCAAAACCCATGTAAAAGCTGGTACAGCAGCAAGAGCTTGGAAACCCACACTGGGGAGGTGGAGACAAATGGATTCCTGGAGCTCGCTGGCTAGACGATCTAACCAAATCAGCAAGCTCCAGGCCAGTGAGAGACCATCACAAAAAATAAAGAGGAGGACTGGAGAGATGGGCTAGTGGTTGAGAGTTTGCTAAGGAAGCATGGGGACCAGAGTTAAGATCCCCAGAACTCAGAAAACCCATGTATGGTGGTGCATAATCCCCGTGTTCGGGTGTGACCAGAGATAAGAGGATCCTGGTTGCACACTGGCTGTCACTAAAGCCGAATCAGCGAACTCTAGGTTCAGAGAGAGACTTTGTCTCAAAAACTAAAGTGGAGAGAGACAGGGACAGGGAGAAGACATCCATTATTAACATCAGGCCTAGATATACACACACACACACACACACACACACACACACACACACACACACACACACGCACGCACACACGCTGCCCCCCAGAAATTTTTAAAAAATAAACCAGTCTTCAAAATTCTTCCAGCTCTAACTAATTAGAATGATCCCTCATACCTAATTGGTTCCCTGGTAGAGCAGGATTTTTCATCTTGCTGGTACCTTGCCGAG